AAGGTATCAGGTCTTAGAAAAATGCCAAAATAACAATGGAGCCTACTCCTTCCCTCTCTTCCCCATCACTCATAAAACATAGGTTTCCAGATGCTCTAGCCAGATCCACTTCCTATTCATCCTAATGAGGAAATCAATATACAGAAAAACAAGAAAAGTCACACTGCTTTAGCCTGCTATCCTAACATAATTTTTGCAGCCTATTATACAAATATGTGCTCACATTTACTACATTCAAGGAGTCAAACACCCAGTCCAACATTTCTTTCTCAGCTATTTAATGACAATCAATTCCTTTAATGGCCAGCATATACAAATAAATGATAATTTTCTAAATAGAAGGAGTGGATGCCTGAAAGGGGGAGTTCATTATGTAAAGAGAGAGAGAGAGTACAAAAAGGGAACACTAGAAATACCAAAGACAAACGGCTATTTTATAATTTTGCCCAAAATGTACCCTTGAATATATCCAGATAAGTATTAGCAATAACCAGTACTGCAAAGCACCTATCTTAGTGGGAATACTACTTTTCAGAGGTATGATGCAATCCAACCTGGCATGGTTCACAAAGATGTATTTTAATACAGTGGACCTCATTATAAAGGAGATTCTATCCCAGAATATTCCCTAGTCAATGATAATAATTACACAGCTTAACCAAGATTGACAATAAGAGATCTTGAAAACAGAACATAATAAAACTGTACTTGTAATGCAACTGTAAGAAGCTCCCATCTACAGAAACATAGCACAAGAAGAACAGTTAATAAATATTACACCCTGGTATCACACATTTTAAAATTTAAATGTATTTATTATACTGTATGGTCATATTATACCATATACTATATTAAGCATCTGGTAATAGAAAGTAACAAAGAAAATATAAATGGTCAGAAGCAAATGTTTAATACCAAAAGTATAAGCACATTCATTTGATAAATATTTAATAAGCTCCCATCACTTACCAGAATATTCTATTCTGAGCATCTACAAAGTAATACAAATACAGTCATGAAATTTGTTCACTTCCCAACACAATTTTAAAAACTAAAATCTACATCTTATGTTCAAAATATTTAACAGTAAAAAATTAGAAACATGGCTGGGCACCGGTGGCTCATCATGCCTGTAATCCTAGCACTCTGGGAGGCTGAGGTGGGAGGATTGCTCAAGGTCAGGAGTTCGAAACCAGCCTGAGCAAGAGCAAGACCCCATCTCTACTAAACGTAGAAAAAAATTAATTGGCCAACTAAAAATATATAGAAAAAATTAGCCGGGCATGGTGGCGCATGCCTGTATTCCCAGCTACTAGGGAGCTGAGACAGAAGGATCACTGGAGCCTAGGAGTTTGAGGTTGCTATGAGATAGGCTGATGCCACAGCACTCTAACCCAGACAACAGAGTGAGACTCTGTCTCAAAAAAAAAAAAAAAATTAGAAACAACCTTATACCCCCCAAAATGATCAGTTAAATAAATCATAATATATCTAATGATACATAACAAGTTTTGCTATGTTTTTAAAAATTAAAAAACTATGTACAGTGTATTATATAAGTATAAAAAAGAACAGAATACACTAAAATTTTTATAGTAATAATATCTTAGTGGAGAGAGATTTTCTTTTTACTTTTCATACTTATATTTTTCTAATTTTCTCATAATGAACATGCTTTCTCTCTGTAATTAGAAAGTTTTTATTGCAGCTGAAATTTTCCTCTGAGAAATTTTAAAAAAAAACTATATTTTCCTGTCAGGTAAGATAAATCTTTAGAATAAAATGTGTCATTACACACAAGCACAATTTTTCATTTCTTTCCATGTACTTCACAATTTTAAGAAATTCCTTTAAGTATATATAAGGAAGACCATTCAATTAAAAGACCACAGTACATTTCAGTTTTCACTGAATATCAACTTTAAATTTAAAATTATTTCCCAGAGAAATTTATTTTATCATCTGTAATATGGATATCTATATTTAAGAGATCCATTTTTTAATCATTTGTCACTCCCCCACCAAATACATTTATTATTAGTTCATAAGAAAACATACAGGAAAAACTACTATTCATCACTAAGCATTAAAACCTGGGTGGAGGGGCTAGAGGGAAAGGCTTGACTTTCAACTAAATAAAATTCATTAAGAGTATCCTAGTTTCAGAAGATACCATATGCTTTCCAAATGGTGGCAATTTAACCAAATTCGCCTACCCTAGAGGTTCTCAAGCACTGGTACCTCAGGGAGTGTATCAAATACAGACGCCCATGGCCCTCGTTTTCACCTACTAAATCAGAATCTTCAGGGGGTAGAGTTCTGAACAATCTGGCCCTCTCAAATAAAATAGCAAGGTAGAGATTTTACTAAACAAAAGCCTTCTCTATAGAACTGCAAATTGTTCTAATAACTCTAAAACAAAGTTCTTAATATAAACAATGTTATAATAAGAGAATTACAATTTCATAACCTCTACCCATTAATTTATCCTTTCTACTCTGTAGCAGTCTTCACACAAGATACAACTCAACAAAACCACAGGTGTATCACAGAGTACATAAAGCCCAGAGGCACCTGTGCCTGGTAAGACAAAGGCATATCCGATTCCTGGAGAAAACAGACAGCAGATGTGACCTCTAGTATTTATCCATTAAAAACAATGTATCCTAAAAATAAATTTCCATGTCAACAAAACAAAGCTGTTTATAAATAAGAAGGAATGTGGAGGTGTGGGGAAGACAAGAGGAAGCTTCAGAAAGTTAAGTACCAAAAGCCAGGAAACAAGGCAAAATGAATTGTAACTGGGGACAAGTTAAACAGAATAAACTAGGAAAAGAAAGAAAAGCTTTATCCTTAGATTCCAAGAAGTCTAGGAGATGTACAGATATTAGAGGAAACTGATCTGAGCAGAAATGCAAGCTGGAAAGTGATTTTTAAGAAATAAGAAAAAAATGAGGAATTTAAAATCGATCAAATGATGGTACAGAACACATTTTGGGAATATAGGTAAAGATGGTATAAAAGGGTGGAAAACCAATATTGTGAAAGAACTGAGAGTAAACAAAGCAAGTATATTGGATGAATTTCCAAACTAAGGATGATGAAGCAAGAAAAAGAGAATTGCATAGACAGAAGAAAGAATGAGACATTACGAGAATTGGGAAACAAGATGAAAGTAGTAGGTAGGAAATAGAACTTCGAGCAAAGTCAACAGAATGAGTCGCATTAACCTAATCAATAATTGTAAAGCAGTTATCATACCATGTATTATCTTATTATTTGTAAAACACAATAAAGTATATTGTTTTATGCAATAAAATATCAAATGTCTGTAATAAAGTTTATGTAATAAAAACAAAATGTAAACAAAATAATTTGATGTGGTGTTAAGAGGCTGAATAATGTAAAAATAGGCTGAGAGAAGCACAGGCTAAAGGAAAGGAAAAAGTGAAAGGGAAAAAAAGACAAGAAGGAGGATAACACAGAAATCAATCAAACCTATAATAAACAGGTAGGAATAAAGAGGTGTGAAAGCACAGTGGAAGACTAGCTAAAAAGTGCCACTAGTGCAAGGGTGAAAAGAGCCAAGTGAAACTTGATGGAATCTTGACAGCTTCAGGGTTCAGAAAGTAAGTAGCTCCAAAGTGTGTCCAGAAGGATTTGTGAAGATGATAGCAACGTTAGGGAGCAGTGGAATGAAGTAGAGAGGCTCAAGAGAACTAGGGGTAAGAGAAGAGCAAAAATGGTCTTAAGTGGAAGCTGAGGTTAGAAGGCAGGCAGGTCGGACAACTGGAAAAGGAGCGGGGCGGCAGATAAGAATGGGATGGGGGTTACCAGTCAACTACAGAACACTGACAAACATTAGGAATGGGGGACTAGAGACCAGAATGGAAAAGACATAGGAAACAGTGCGATTTGGAGTTGAAAAAGCAAAGGCTAAATCAAAACCATCCGCTGTGGAAAACAGGTGAAGAAAAATCCCCAAACAAGTAGAAAGGTGGAGGGGGTGGAGGGAGCAGCGGCCTGAAAAGGCGGACAGTCAGGGAAGAGTAGAGAGCGAATGATGCGCCCCATCATTCCCATGCCCATGTAATAATTACATACGACAGTAACTCGGGCTGGGGTCCTCGCCCGGGTTAGTAGCCTACATCCTCCACCCGGATGCCGCCGCCACCGCCGCTGCCGCCACCCTCCCCCTGCCCCAATAACAAAAACATCTAAGAGATGCCGTGCTGGATACCTCAGCCTGTAGTGACCTTCTCGGACCAACCCTGAGTTTCGCCCCCTATTGATAGCCTCCGGCTCAACTACCGCTGCCCCGATCCCCACATCTGGGGTGGGGGCCAGGGAACCCCCCCCCGGGCCATTGTGTGTGTTTACGTAGCTAGGTGCTACATGACGGACAGGGACACGGGGGCGATGCCCACCTCTAACCCTGCGGAGCCGACCGGAGAAGGTGGCTGAGGGCACCAGAGCCCCCTCAGCCGCCTCTTTCCCCAAAATAAACACTAGCTAGCAGAGCCCTGAGTCGGGAGGGGCGGCAGGGTGGCACCGGCACTTACCTCCTCCGGAATGGCAGGGTCCGCGGCTGAAGAGGCCGCGGCGCCGGCGCCGGCCTCGGGCTCCATGTCCCCGTTGAACAGAGTCTGGCCCTGCTCCGCGCCGCCGCCGCCGCCGCTCAGCGCCGCCATCTTATAACCGAGAGCCGGAGCCCGAGCGGCCGCTGCTGGGCGGGGAGGGGGAAGGGAGGCGGAGGGCGGGGGAAGACGGAGGCGGAGGCGCGGGGGGCACGGGGAGGGGCGGCCCGGGCGGAGCCGCGGGCGGGGGGCGCCTGGGCCACTTCAGGTACCGGCCCGCGGCCCCGGGCGCAGGCGAGCCTGAGGGGATTGGGGGAAGGACGCCAGGGAGGGGGGAAGGGGGCGGAGACGACTAGAAGTCGCCGCGGCAACGGCGTCACCCGCTGGTCACGGTCGTGACGTCACCCCGGGTGCGTGACGTAATCTAAGGAGCGCCCTCGCGCCGTTGTCAGGGGAGGGTTCATTCCCCTCCAACCGCCCGCGCGCTCATGCTTTTCCTCCGCTCCGTTTCCATGGCTCCCATTTCCTACTTTCTTCTCATCTCCTCCGTCCTCAGCCTGTTCTGTAAGGTGGGATTTACTAGAAAATCCAGGGTGGCGTTCAAGGAGAAGTCGAAATCCTAGAGGGAGGAAGGCGGGGAAGCCCATACTACTTGTTATATTCATTACAACCAACGTCTCCGTGTCACAAAAATAAGGATTGAAACAGCAAGCTTGAAACACTCAAGCAGAATTTTATAGAAATATATTTAGGAACAGCTAAATTAGCAGTGTGGTGCTTGTTTCCTTTTCATTGAAGGATTTGGCCTATTAAAGTGAGTCTAAATGGAAGTCTAAAAGCTTTTCTTCATCGTTGAGGAATAAAATGTTTTAGTGTATTTTTCGTTTTTCAGATTCATTCATTTATAAATACCAATTGAGTGAGCTTTTTCTATGCCCTTAGGCCTGAACAAGGCACATAGCATTCTAGACATTCCAAGCATCAAAACTAATCATTTTTATTTTGAAGAAAATCATTCAAAATATTTTATATACTTTGTTTCTTTCATGAAGAGAATATTCCAAGGCATTGTATGTGCAAAGTATGTATGAACACAGTTGGGAGAGGAGGGGTAAGTTCTCTTTGACAGAATGGAATTAGTTAAACCCAATTCATTATTAAAAATACATTTATCTAAAAGGAAGGAGGAATGATTGGAAAAGAAAATTTTAAGGAAGGGAGAAACATAGTAGAAGTTACTATGGGCTCCCAATGGTGTGCAGTGAATCACCAAAGTAACCTAAACATGAAGTCTTGAAAACCTTGAGTGGACTTTGCCTTTTTGTACTTCCCATGAGGGGTGAAGTCACCAGTGACCTCCTTATTGTATTTAGGATGATTCAAGAGATAGAAAGCTCTCCTACTGACTTCTGAAATGGGATGTCTGCATATTGATAGGGTCCCCATGAGCCTGGGAGCTGATGCTTACTCTCAGGGTGAGGAATTATGTGTGAGGCTGCTTGATGAATCAGAATACTAACATTCCTCTCATTGCAAGAATACAACCTATCAAATGAGCATGCTATGTTTCGTCAACTTTGCTGTACATTCTCTTCCAAGTAGGAAAGTTTCCTTGGATGAAATTTAAACAGTGGCTTGGGAAATATAGAGTAAATGAATATGATCAAAGGGATTATTGTCTTCAAGCTAAACTAATCTGAAGCACCCTTCTTTGCTATAAGGACATACTTTGAAGCCAACTGAAATAGCACCATCAACGGGTCATGGCACCCTTTCTCCTGACTTCATCAGAAACACAACTGTCAGGGTTTTCCTTAATTCTCTAACTATCCTATTTCATATTTTAATGGGGCTAATTTGCCCCTAGAAATAATTAGTATAACACTCCCTTGTAACATTGAAAGTCCTAAGAGTTTTTTTTTTCTTTTTTCTGTAGGTTCCATTTTGAATTACAGCTTTATTTATCAGCATCAATCTGTAGATCATATCTTATGATGATTTCTCCCCAGGATGACTGGTTTCATCCACTTAATATTGATTCTTGTTAGCTTCCATTTACTCAACATTACTATGACTTTGTCTTCAAATTCTGCATATATCCTATTTTATTTCCTTAGGCCATTCTAAAGTTCCACAGTATCCAGATGAAACAACAGAGAAAGCATAAACTTTGGAGTCCAAAGATAAGGATTTTAGTGTCAGCACACCACATCTTGGCTATGTAATCTCAAAGCAGGTAAACTTAAATCCCTGTTTGTTTTGCTTTGGTTTTTAATCTTAATATGAGGATGATAATAATGCCAATCCAGCCTACCTAACTATATCACTGTGAGGATCAAGCATTATAGTTTTTCCCTTTGCAAAGTAAAACATTCTCTCAGTCAAAATTCAGATAAGGCATAGCAAAGATAATTTATCTGTGCTCTATAATGTCTGGAACCTCAGCTGGAAGACTCAGTTCCTTGGGATTATGTTAATGGTTGGAAATTGGAATTCTTTAGAGGCATATTTACTGATATGGCAGCTGAGGAAGTCAGACAGAATACCTAAACATACTCTGTTCCTGGGGCCTGGGCTTCCTTCTAGCATGGTTGCCTCAAGGTAGTCAGACTTCTTATAAAGCAGCTCAGGGCTTCAAATGATAGTATTCCAGTAAGAAAGATAAACACTGTTGCATTTTATAATCTAGCCTCCAAAGTCACATGGCATCACTTCTGCTGCATTTTATTTGATACAAGTAAGTCACTAGTCTGGCTCAAATTCATGGACAGGATGTACAGATCCCACCTCTCAATGGAAGAAGTATCATAGGATTTACAGACATGTTTTTTTTTTCCAGCATATTATGGGGATACAAATGTTTAGGTAATTGTGTTGCCTTCTCTCCCCTTCCCCCTCACACCCCACAGAGTTAGAGCCTCAAGCGTGTCCATGCCCCAGAGATTGCGCATCACACTCATTATGTATGTGTATACCCATACCTTCCTTCCCCCTTCCATCTGCCCAATGCCCGATAAATGTTATTCCTATATGTCCACTTAGGTGTTGATCAATGAAACCAATTTGCTGGTGAGTACATGTGGTGCTTGTTTTTCCATTCTTGGGATACTTCACTTAGTAGAATGGGTTCCAGCTCTATCCAGGAAAATACAAGAAGTGCTAGATCACCATTGTTTCTTATAGTTGAATAGTACTCCATGGTATACATATACCACGTTTTATTAATCTACTCATGTATTGATGGGCACTTGGGTTGTTTCCACATCTTTGCAATTGTAAATTGTACTGCTATAAACATTTGAGTACAGGTGTCTTTTTTTAATATTAAAAGTTTTATTTTAAAAACCCCCACAGAACCAATAGAAAGGGAAAGATTGAAGATGAGAAGAGAGGATGTGAGGGAGAAACAGGAACACAGAATTGTACTTTTCATTGAGGAACTCTCCCTGGTGGTCTTGTGATTTTAATTCCAATCCAGCTGTTTATGAAGAAGTTGTAACAGAGAATATCCCATGATCCCGTTCATTATGAATCCTACTGCCTCACGTGGAGGCAATGATTAAAGACAGAGGGTAACAAATTCAAATACAGTTTATCTCTTCCCTCCTAGGATTCTCCCTGATCAAATCCTCAGCCTAGAACAGCAGTTCTTTTTTTTTTTAATTTTTCAATATATTTTTTCTTTTTTTTTTTATTTCAGCGTAATATGGAGGTACAAATGTTAAGGTTACATACATTGCTCTTGCCTTCCCTCCTCCCTCGAGTCAGAGCTTCAAGCATGTCCAGATGTCTTTTTTATAGAGTGTCTTTTGTTCTTTTGGGTAGATGCCCAGTAGTGGGATTGCTGGATCAAATGGTAGATCTACTTGTATCACTTTAAGGTATCTCCATATTGCTTTCCACAGAGGTTGCACTAGTTTGTAGTCCCACCAGCAGTGTAGGACTGTGCCTATCTCTCTGCATCTACGCCAACATTTATTATTTTGGGACTTTTTGATAAAGGCCATTCTCACTGGAGATAAGTGATATTTCATTGTGGTTTTGATTTGCATTTTCCTAATGATTAGAGATGTTGAGCATTTTTTCATATGTTTGTTGGCCATTATTATGTCTTGTTTTGAAACATTTCTGTTCATGTCCTTTGTCCACTTTTTGACAGGGTTGTTTGATTTTTTTCTCACTGATTTTCCTGAGTTCTAAATAGCTTCTAGTTATCAGCCCTTTATCAGATGTGTAGCTTGCAAAAATTTTCTCCCATTCTGTAGATTGTCTGTTTGCTCTCATGACAGTTTATTTGGCTGTGCAAAAGGTTTTTAATTTGATCAGGTCCCATTTATTTATATTTGTTGTTGCTGTGATTGCCTTTGGGGTCTTCTTCATAAATTCTTTGCCTAGGCCAATGTCTAGAAGAATATTTCCAACATTTTCCTCTAGAATTCTAATAGTTTCGCACCTTATGTTTAAGTCTGTTACTCAGCATGAGTTGATTTTTGTGAGAGGTGAAAAGTATGGATCCTGTTTCAGTCTTCTACATGTGGCTATCCAGTTTTACCAGCACCATTTATTGAATGAGGATTCTTTTTTTTTTTTTTTTTTTTTTTTTTTTTTTTTGAGACAGAGTCTCACTTTGTTGTCCAGGCTAGAGTGAGTGCCGCGGCGTCAGCCTAGCTCACAGCAACCTCAATCTCCTGGGCTTGAGTGATCCTTCTGCCTCAGCCTCCCGAGTAGCTGGGACTACAGGCATGCGCCACCATGCCCGGCTAATTTTTTTTATATATATATCAGTTGGCCAATTAATTTCTTTCTATTTATAGTAGAGACGGGGTCTCGCTCTTGCTCAGGCTGGTTTTGAACTCCTGACCTCGAGCAATCCGCCCGCCTCGGCCTCCCAAGAGCTAGGATTACAGGCGTGAGCCACAGCGCCCGGCCTGAATGAGGATTCTTTTCCCCAGCATATGTTTTTGTCTGCTTTGTCAAAGATTAGATGGCTCTATGAGGATGATTTTATACGTGGGTTCTCCATTCTGTTCCACTGGTCAATGACCCTGTTCCTGTGCCAGTCCCAAGCTGTTTTAATTACTATAGCTTGTAGTATAGTTTGAAGTCTGGTAAATTGATACCTCCCGTTTTGTTTTTGTTGCCTAGGATTGCTTTTGCTATACAGGGTCTTCTCTGGTTCCATACAAAGTGTAAAATTATTTTTTCTATATCTGTGAAAAATGACAATGGTATTTTAATAGGGATTGCATTGACTCTGTAGATCACTTTAGGTAATATAGACTCTTTAACAATGTTGATTCTGCTGACCCACGAGCATGGTATGGTTTTCCACCTGTTTACATCCTCTGCTATTTCCCTCCTCAGTGTTTCATAGTTCTCCCTGTAGAGGTCTTTTACCTCCGTAGTTAAATATATTCCTAGGTACTTTATTTTCTTTGTTGTTATTGTGTAGGGAATTGAGTCTTTGATTTGGTTCTCAGTTTGACTGTTATTGGCATATATGAATGCCTCTGATTTGTGTGTATTGATTTTGTATCCTGAGACTTTACTGAATTCGTTTATCAATTCAAGGAGTCTTCTGGTTGAATCTTTGGCGGGTTTTCTAGGTATAATATAATATCATCAGCAAAGAGTGAAAGTTTGATCTCTTTTGCCCCCATTTGGATGCCCTTAATTCTGCTGTTTTGTCTGATTACTATAGCAAGGGTTTCCAGCACTATGTTGATAGAAGTAGAGACAGTGGGCAACGTTGCCTTATTCCAGTTCTAAGTGGGAATGCTTTCAATTTTTCCCCATTCAGTATGATGTTGGCTGTGGGTTTGTACAGACATATTTTTAAACCACCACATTTCGTGTTTAGAACAATGAAATGCCTACTCTGTAGAACTGGCTACTCACTCTCACCTTGTCTCAAAGGAATTCTATATCCAATCAAATTTTTTCCCCTTTATTACTGGGAATCACCAAGATGTATCTCAGTATGCTAATGAACAAACACTTACCTCTTTTTTCAGCTCTAAGGCCTCTGCTGCATGCGAAAAATAGATACAGGTCCTTTGCCGTCTGACACAGAATAACTGTCTCCTCTTGGACACTTCTCCCAAAGCCCAGTGCTGCCATAGGCAGAGTTGAATGTGCTGAAATCCCTTCTACACAAAACAGTGATCCTGAAGCCTGTGATGAGTCAAGCCAGTTTGTGTTCTGAGCAGAAACAGAGAACACTTCCCCTTTGTGTTGTAGTGTGCCATATGAACATCAAAGCCACATTATCTTGCATTGTCAAGTCTTATAGACATTTTAGTCAACATTTTAGGTTTTGCTCACAATCCCCCTTTCCCCTAAGGCATTCATGTATTCATAGAAAGCTGGAAAACAAATCTAGGTGTGAGGCACTATGCAGAGCCATTACTCTGATTGATGGCTGAGATGCTGGTAAGAGCTTTGCTGCTATCTCTGACCCACTCTTCCCTGGAAATGAGTTTACATCCAACTGGTATTTCTATCTTGAATCTTGCATTCTAATAGACATTGAATAGTCCCACCAATCAGCCAGACCTGCCTCGCTAAGTCTGATCCCACATTAATATGGCCAACTACCGGAAAACAAGCAGTCCCTAGGAAACTTCTACAGCTCCAACCAGCTTCAATGATGTGTAGTTGATCACAGTTTAATATTTTCTTTATGAATCAAGGCATCATTATAACCAATGCATCCTGTGTTGCATCATTATAAACAATGCATCCTGTGTTGTTTAAGAGAGGGATACTCTCAGATGCTATTTAAGTGTGCATAGAAAATAGAATCATAGAGTTATTTCAGCACAACTTCCCAATGAGAGATACTTGGAATACTTGGAATCCATTCTGTGGAATTCCAGACTCTGCCCAAATACTTTAGTGATGGGAACCTCACTAATAAGGTACATTCAACTCTATTTCTGATGTTGAATTGAAATCCTCCTCTTTATGACACCTATATTCTGATCTGAGTTTTGCCTTCTAGAGAAACACAGGATGAGTCTATTTCTCATCCTGTGTAATTGCTTTCAAGTATTTGAAGGGTGTTTTCTTTCCTTTAGTCTCAAAGCATTTTCTTTTCTGTCTGTGCGCTCTTTTCAATGTTCCTCTTAAAATAGTCCTATGAATTGAACACTGTTCCAGATTTGGTCCAACCAATAAAGAATAGAATCTCTAATTGCAATAACCTAGAAACCATACTTCAGTTAACATAATCAAAGATCATATAAGCAGCCCCACCCTGTTATTGGTACACATGAAGCTTGTGGTCAAAAAGATGTTTTATGTTGAGTAAAATGCTATTATACCAAGTCTAGATTTTTCAATCTTTTCAGCATTGTGGTCCTCTCACCTATTGTTATCTCATATTTCCCAGACTTTCTAATTTTTGCCCATGAAAGAAGACCTTGTGGTTCTAGATTCATGAAATGTATTAGCTATTATATTTCTGATATTTAACGAAGGATAGTTATAACAGAATGTTATTTTATCTTATAACATCTGCATACACTACCCTTGGTGTGTTAATAAGATAGAGTTCTTTGTGAATTTGGTATTTTTTGATGTTAACTTTTTTTAAGTTTCTTTGATTGTAAGGTGCAATAGACTAGACTATATACAGTATGTTACTTTTGGCCAAAAAACACAAGAGGAAACTATAGTTTTATATATATATAATGAGATGGTAACTGATAAGGGATGGGTAAGAACAGGGTGGAGTAGATTAGGTGGGAGTGAGACTTCTCTGATATATCATTTAACATAGTTTTAATTTATGAGACATGTAAATAAATAATAGAGTAAAATCTAAACAAATGAACTTGATTACATATCAAATTGATAACACAATTGCACAGAGAAAATGATTGATTCAAGTAGCTTTTGAATGTCATTTTCTGACTGTAGATTTACACTGTGTCAAATTAGCTAAACTGGAACTGCTTCCCAGAATTCCCTTCCATCATCTAAGACCTGTTTAAATATAACCACTCCTTAATTTCAGACCCTGGGATGTTCCAGAGCAAACTCTCTTCACTAAGGCTGTAAGAAGGGCATTTGTGAGGATGACTTTTGGAGATCCATGCTGGCTTTCTGTGAACCAAAAAGGACAAGGAGCACTGCTGCCATCTCAATAGAATCCACATTTAACTCTGTGGTGAAGGGCACTGGCTTCTCCTGCAGGATGCCCCATCATGAAAGTTGGGATCAGAGTTTGAGGTAGTGAGAGTCTGACTGTGTTGCAGTCCCTCCTCAGGGGTTCCAGCTCACAGATTTCACTTTTTGCTTGCTTCTCCCACTTTACCTCCATCCTTCCTTCCTTCCTGTCTGCCCTGAGGATTTTAGGTTCCAGGAGCAGACACAAAAACACCAGCCTCACATAATCTGGTTAACCAGTTCCACAATTGCATAAAATCAAACCACTATTATAAATTCCTTGTTATTTACATTTCCTAGTGTTTACTCAGTACTCTGAGTACTGACTGGAATATAATCTAAGGACAAAACAAAGTATAAATTAATCTTTAACTTCATTCAGAAGGTTTGTTATTGATAATGATATTGGTTTTGTAATTCTGAAACAATTTGTGTATTTATCATGGAATAGAACAAATGAACACATATATTGATGTTGGGAATCAGAGGTCTTACTGTGAGAAAAGTGAGCAACAAATAGGGAACAAGGGAAATTGGAGAATAACCCTGTGGTGTTAGATTTAAATTTGAGGCAGCAGTATGAACATAGGATTATATATGTGTATTCATACATTCTCAGCTCTGCCTACTGAAAGAGGTACCTAGGTGTAGCAATAAGTAAGTATGCCTGAAGCCTGGATCTTGATTTTGAAATGTCATTCTCCACTAAAAGTAACCAGGGCTCCTCTGAGAAATGGTTGATTCCAGATCTGGGGCAGGAAATATATAAATTGAGCTTGCATGGGATGAGTCTTGGTATACTCAAGAACAAGGACTTTATTAAATACTACTAGGTCATTTCAAAAGGAGCCATCAACAAGACTTCCACTGGTCCAAAATGGGACAATTGGAAGGTAAAAAATAAAAATGGCAGGAATAGATTAATATATATATATATATATATATATATATATATATATATATATTGTTATTGTTATTGTTGTTGTTGTTGTTTTTGTTTTTTTTGAGACAGAGTCTCACTCTCTTGCCTGGTCTAGAGTGCCTTGGCATCAGCCTAACTTTCAGTAATCTCAAACTCCTGGGCTCAACCGATCCTCTTGCCTCAGCCTCCTGGGTAGCACCACCATGCCCAGCTAATTTTTTCTATTTGGCTAATTTCTTTCTATTTATAGTAGAAATGGAGTCTCACTCTTGTTCAGGCTGGACTTGAACTCCTGAGCTCAAGCAATCCTCCTGCCTTGGCCTCCCAGAGTGCTAGGATTATAGGTGTGAGCCACTGCGCCCAGCCTGATTATATATTTAATTTTTAAAAATCTGTATGTCCATAGTGATGAGAGAGAGAAAAAGAGAGAGAAGGATATTGAAAGAAAGAGGTGTGAAGTAAAGCTCCTTTTAAGAGAAGAATGCTGGAGAAGGAATGACAGATTTAGAAAAATCACCATTTTGTAACCACCAATATAATAATTACTACAGTTCGGTACTATCAGTCTCATGGTTTTATAATGCTGTCATGTAGATCTCCCTTTTTTAACCTATAATATGAATTTATTGTGTGTTTTATTCACAAATTTCTAATACAAAAAAAAAATTACATTTGAAAAAAAATTGATCTACCAGAAAAAGGATTGTACTCAATGTTCTATCAAAGTCTAAAGAATTTAAACAACTTTTCACAAATTGTTCTTCCAAAGAAATTATGGTCAAAATATAAACAGGTAAAAACTGATATAATGAAACATAAAGTTTCTGTGGCTTTTGGACTTCAAAATGAAATATTAGATAATTTCATTAAAAAAAGTATTTGGCAAATTTTTGTGTCACATAAACAAACCTATCAGTTAAAAATCTATGAGAATGAAAATCACTGAACTATACACTTTAAAAGGGTGAATTTTTTATTATATAAATTATACATAACATAAAATTTATCATTTTAACCACTTTTAAGGTTAGAGTTCAGTGGCATTAAGGGCGTTCACCATCACCCACCTCCAGAACTTTTTCAAAAGGGTGAATTTCATGATATGTGAATTATATACTAATAAAGATGTTATTTAAAAATCTATCAAAAGTAAAGGTGGTACCCCCATAATATGCCAAAATAAAAAAAAATAAAAAAATAAATAAAAAAAGTAAAGGTGCACAAAGGAACTTTCAGGAATGATGAAGATATTTGTATCTTGATTTGGGTGATGGTTATATGGTGCATTCATTTGTCAAAACTTGTCAAAGTGGGCCGGGCGCGGTGGCTCAAGCCTGTAATCCTAGCACTCTGGGAGGCCGAGGAAAGATATAAACATTAGAAATGAATTAGGCAAAATATATCAGAATCTCTACACTAAAAATTATAAAACATTGCTGACAAAGATTAAAGATGATCTAAATAAATGAAGAAATATACCATATTTGTGGATTGGCTGATTCAATATTATTTCAATATGATGTCCCTTTTCTCTGCTGGCAAATAGCTCTCAGACAAAAATAAAACCCTGACAGGAAAAAAGAAACTCTCTAAAACCTCCTCATGTCTTCTTCCCCTTGAAAAGTCACACCATTCCTGACTTCTAACCCGTGGACTGGCCTATCTATTTATTTCTGATCTTTCTACCTATATCATCTATTTATCACATTATGTAAATAAACCAGAGTATTGTATTTTTTGAATTTGGCTTTTGCTCAATATCATTTGTGAAATTCATCGCTATTCTTGCATGTATCTATAGTTCATTTTCATGGCTGCAGAATAGTCCATTATATGAATATAATACAAGCAATCTATTCTGAACAAAAAATCTATTCTGCTGATAATAGACTTTGGGATTGTTCCAGTTTTTGGCTATTGGGTGGTATAGTTAACATTCTGTGCCAGTGAACACATTTCTCTTGGTATATACCTAGCAGTGTTAATTTTGGGGTCATAAGATTGGGTTGTTTCAACTCAGTAAATGACACCAAGTTGTTTTCTAAAATTCTTTACCAATTTACAATGCCACCACAATGTAGAAGAGTTTTTAGTTGATGTTCTATAACCTTGCCAAGAGTTTAAAATTTTAATCATTATCATGGTGTTTTTGTTTTTTTTTTTTTGTTGTTGTTTTTTTGAGACAGAGTCTCGCTTGTTGCCCAGGCTATAGTGAGTGCCGTGGCGTCAGCTTAGCTCACAGCAACCTCAAACTCCTGGGCTCAAGTAATCCTTCTGCCTCAGCCTCCCAAGTAGCTGGGACTACAGGCATGTGCCACCATGCCCGGCTAATTTTTTTTTTTATATATATATAA